AGTGATTGGCCAGATTGAGGGAGCCCACGGGGCGAGCATCATGAGCATCAGCTAGATCGTGCCTCAAACTTTCTCTCCGATCGTTTGGCTTTTGAACCCACAGCACGGCGCAGCACTTGAAGCCGTTTGGTTGTCTTACTCTCTCTCTCTCTCTCGCTCTCTCGCTCTCTCTTCTTCCACTCAGCCAAAGAGGGCAGAACCCTCCTGCGCGTGCATGCGCCCTGGTCTGGCTCTCTCTCTTTCTTTCGCCAGGGCTGTGGTGGTGGGAATTTACCCCTCCACCGTGCGCAGGTGCGCCCCCGACAGTTGCGGGGTGCCAGAAAAGGAACATACCACCACGTCATTGCGAGCACTTGGGACTGTCTTGTTCACAGAAAGGAATGGTCCCACCAGGAAGTGCTGAGAGGGGGACCCCCTGAAGCAAACAAGAAAAGACACCCTCGGTAAAACCTGCTGGACAAGCCAAGTTTGGAGGGGATGGCCCCCTCTTGAAGGAGCTCGTGGTGACAATCAAAAGTTGGGAGACACAGCCCCTCTGGTAAGAAAGGATACGGCTACAGCGTGCCCGATAGGGGCATTGTAGGATTGAATGGGGTTGGCTCAGCGGCCCGTCATTTAAAAAGGGAAAGCTGAGTTGGTGACAGGGGCATCGGAACACGGAAGCAACAAAAGGAAGCCTAAGAACATCTCTCTCTCTCTCTCTCTCTCTCTCTGCTCAGGGTAAGAGTCAGGGGCAGTCCCCACGACCCGCGCTCCTGGCGCCCCCCCCATCCTCTGTCTCTCTTTCTCTGTCTCGCTGTCTCTCTGCAAGGCTGCAAGGCCAGGAAGCTGTAGTGCAGCTGTAGCTGGCAATCGAGAATGTACTTCTCGTTCTTCGCATGGGCTTTTCGGCGGCTGGCTGAATCCCCGAACTGCAAATAAGCTTGTGGCATTCCTTGGCAGGTCTGAACCGCCTCTAAATCTTCTCAACAGTCCAACTTCTGTCCTAACTCCTGTTTGCATCTCTGAGACGGACCGTGCCATCAGACTTTGGGAAGTGCAGCTTCACCTTCAGCTACCGCAGCTTCTCTGCATTGCAATTCACACTGATATGATATGTGGGAAAGGCTATAAAGCCCTTCGTCGCGTCTACAGGCATTAGCACGTGCCTGTGCATGCGGAGTATGCAAACAGCTCAGTTCGGGACCAAATCACACTGCTCGAACTCTTCAAGCAAGGCTTGTGGCGTGACGTTCTCAGGCAACACCAAAATCAGACAACACAATGAGCTTACCTAGCAATCAAAGCCGCACAAGGTGGATACACAAGATCAGACTTCTAACAGCGGTCCTGACTAATGCGGCATTTCATAAAGTATTCCGGACCTCGGTGCAGGGTGTCACAAGAACATTCAGGTAAAATGAACTGGCTCCGTACTGCTCACACAAGGCTGCGGTCCCCCTGTGGTAACATCTCATACGAGATTGTACTTCACAGCATCGAGCACCGAAGAACTTCTACATACCTGCCATGATAGTGTTTGGATCTCGCTGGCGGTGGGCTCTGTTCTGACGTGCTTCGAACGTCGGTGTGCAAAACGCCTGCCGCCCCCAAAGACCGGGGGGGTAGTTGTGAAGCGAAATGAAGTGAAGTGGTAATGGTTTGCATGGCTTCAGAGCTTCCATGGTTCGACTCCGCATGCTGAATCCGGCATGATAACATCAGATCAAGCAGCTCTGGTTGGGCGGCAAACACTTCGCCCATCGGCCAGTTGACGTCAGCCTTCAGGCTGATGGTGGAAGCTGCGGGAAACTTTTAAGGGCTCGGATACATCCGGCCCTGCCTCGGCACTGGACCTGTCTACGCATCATGACTGAAGTGAAAGGCCAGGCCAAGTGGCACATTCAAGGCGTTGTGCATCTCGTCGGCTATCCGCTTCTTGCCAGCTCGGCTGCATTTTCCTGCTCAAGAACCCGATGAGTGAAGGAACAGCCATCACACCCTTCCAAATCATCGCCGTCCGTTTCGCACCATGGCCTGCAAGGTTGTGTTTGAGATCGAAGGGATCTTCCAGATACCACTGCTCTTCGTTCGTCGGGAGCGACCTTGGCACCAGGGCTGGCTTGGACTTGGGAAGCGTCTGCAGAAATGCACCCTTACACTGCAAGCTAGCAGCAATGAGTACTTGTCGACGTTCTGTCCAGGTTTCTGCCTGGACTGGACTGGAGTTGGCACCACATACGTCTCGCATACTTCGCAATGACAGAAAAGCCAAAGAAAGCTCCAAAACCCTCATGAAGTCTCGCAAGGCCGGCATCTCTCTGGTCTGAGGCGGCAGCAGGCGCATGCAGACAGCATGCTGCCGCCAGTTGAACTCGCGCGTGTAGAATCGGAAGAAGCCTACAAGTAGCTCACCTGGGAGAAGGAGCTCTGTGCTGCACAGCAGTAAGACTCTGTCATGAAATCTTAGGTTCGCTCCAATCGACATCTGATTCTGCGACTTCGGGATTGAATCAACCTGTGCTTGCCGGGTGCTTTCGCTAAGCCTCCTCAGCTCCAGCAGCTACACCAAGATGAGAGCGAGACGTCGACCAAAAATTTAGTCTCCCAGATGTCTTCGCCGCCCCACTTGCCTTAGAAAGGACTTCCCTACACTTGCACTCTATAGGAGACTTTAAGCGAAGCGGCGGTCTGACACCGGAACCGACTCGCAGTCCATGGCCTGGAGATTCTGCACCTCAGAGCTCAGAGCTCTCATCGCTCTCCTTCGGGCCGCTCGGCTGCCCCCTTTTGTGCGCCCGAGTTGCAACCGGCGGCTGTACCTGCTGGAGGAAGAAAACCACCAAGAGCATGTACGCATAGCCTGGAGGTTTCTCGGAGCCCGAAGTTCAGTAGTTGCTGCGAGGGTGCTTGCGTGGACTGCTTGTGTCCGGGGTTTCTTTCTGAATGTTGGACTCTGATGCCGAGATGATTGGCCTAGATGTGCAGTACGCTCAGAAAGGTGTCACACACAAGGGCTTGCTCCAAACGAGCTCAACGTATAGGACGGGCACAGCCGAGGCAAAAGGATCTTCTGAACGCTCGGAGACTGCTCTGATGCTGCACAGCGGGGACATGACGTGCCCGAGTTCCGCATCCAGCAGCCCCCAACCTTACCCTTGTGTGACTAAAGTGGAACAAGTCCTGGCACCCGAAATCTATCTGAAAATCCCGCCTGGATTATTTGAACCCCCTCGCCAAGCAGCTGTTCAAGCAGCCGTCTGCAGTCCCGACGAGCTCATGCTTCTTTGCCCACTCCTTTACCAAGCGGCCGAGCTGGAGGACACGGTGGTCGTACTTGCAGTACCTCGGATGTATGACGACTTATCGAAGAAGGTCGCCCTTGACAGCATCAAGCAGAAGTTAACTGATGGAGACAAGGTACGTGTTGAGCAGAAGGGAATTCCTGACCCCCAGCTCGTTGTTGATGCAAAAATCCACCTGCCGTCTGGCCGTGGCAGCCATGCTAAACACAACGGCCTGTCGGCCTCCATGTTGTCCTTGCGGTCAGTCAGCTTGAGAAGGGGGACATTTGCCTGGCTCAGGCTTTGGAAAGAGACACCGAGCAACACTATACTATAGAATCTGCGTGCACAAGTGCAGAATGCCGCCCAGCTCAGCCACATGCAAGTCCTGTGTTCTCTGCGGGTATTAAGTCTCGATAGCCCTCGAAACAGGACTGCTGGCCCACCTGAAAGATCTTTGTAATGTTATCAAAGCCGAGGCCATCCAAACGGTCAGAAAATTTCCTAAGATGTTGCAATGAGATCCACATTGGACAGAAGGATCTTCCAAACAAACATACTCTAGAGCCAAAGTCCTTCCAGCAGGACATTCCCTGCATACGGGCGTCTGCAGGATGGAGATGGCACTCTCATCCACAGCTCCCACAAAGACAACGTCCAGGTCCGAGGTCCCGGTTTTGAAGCCGTTCGAAAATGAACCAAACCTTATGGCCGGGAGAGACCAGACATGCAACAACAGCGCTGCGACATAGGGCATTGCAGGGCACACGCAGCGGTTACTGCAAGCTGGGAGCATGTGAACCGATCCATTCAGCCCCAGCTGTCCTTAACTCAACGTGCTATGAGAAAGGAAAACAAGCTGCGACCTGCATTACTGCGTCGCCCTTAATCCTTGCATGCGAAGAGGTTCGGGCAAGCGGTCTGCGGCTTCCTAGCTAATCCTAGCAACATGAGAAAGGGCACCTGGAATGTTCCGAAGACAGGGTGCGAGCCAGCCCATTCAAGGTCAGGTTGATCCTCTTGGCAGCTTTCTCGCGCTGACCGGTGCGAGCACCGGCCCGCAAAAAGTCTTGAAGCTCCTGCAAGACCACCGGAACAGCGAACATGGCGGGCCAACGTGCCAGCGTCAAGATCGAGAAACATGATCGCAAAGCTAAGTGAATGGCGAGCAGGAAACATCCAGGATCGAGAAATGAGAAGCTTCGAATGAGAAAAGGGACAAGATCTGCGATGCAAGTAGCAAGAAATCATATGAAGGGTCAGAAAACACAGAACTGCCATAGCTATGTTCGTCGGGACCACGTTGAGACAAACATCAACCTGTTTATTGACGTCAATGTAAGAGGGTGGGGGGAGATTTACAGATGCTCTCCGAGATGCAGTGCGAAGGCAAGAGGAGCGGCGAGACTTAGATGTTCGCGGATCTGATCTCTGATTTTGGCTCCTTTGGGCTGACACAGCTAAACGAGGCCGGAAACCCATCCCTGCGTGTTCTGATCCCTCTCGCCTGGTTTGGTCATCCGATTTCTGACTTTGCCGGTTTCGTTTTCCGTTCCTACCTGGCTTAGGTTGTTCTCTAACCCTTGGCGTTAGCTTCCGATGCCGTCTGTCGAAAATTGACGAGTCTGCTTTGCCTCTGAATCGGCTTCCAACTACATGGAAATGCAGAAATGCCCGGACCAGCGACTTTCTTCCTACCTGTGCCATGACATGTTTCGAAACCTCGTCGAATGGTCGCTGCTGTTAGGCTCCCCTGTTTGCTTTTGCTGCTCTGTTTCACTCGGGACTATTCATAAGAGTCATAGTCTTCCATAGTGCTCCATAAGAGCTGGTTAGTCTGCATGCTTGCCGCGGACACTTGTTAACTTCAATCGTCGAAAGTCATTCGGTATATCTGTATAGCCATTGTTATCATTCACGGCCAGATGCCCTTTAGACAAAGGCATCCTTGGTCCTTCAACCCGCCATGCATTACTTTCAAGATTTTCACACTAAGACCGAGAAGAACTTAAAGCGAAACAGTACGGATGTTCGAATCATTTAACCCAAAGTATAGGAGTATGTATGTATGTATGTATGTATGTATGTATGTATGTATGTATGTATGTATGTATGTATGTATGTATGTATGTATCATTATTATGTGAAGCTACTTTCAATGACTTCGAGGGGTGTGGCAAAGCTCCCAAGATCGGCAGAACATGTTCTGCCCTGTCTTGCCGGTGAACCCTGCAGCTGGAGCTTCGAACCCTCGAAACCTCAGCTCTCTCAACCCAAAGTGCACCGACGCCATCAGATCATCACTAAACTGCAACAGATAGGATAAAAAGAGTATAAGTAACATGCCAAGGCAAAACCTGTAATGACAACCGAACCGAACACAGCTTATTACAAAAACAGCCGCTCTGTACCGTGAGTTTTTCTGTCATCGTTGCCAAGATGTGTGGGGAAAGAAATGCAGCACAGGAGGAGACTTGTCTTGCGAATGTTGGAACTTTCCACCCACGACCACCATGCCACAAGCCGTATGGTCGTAACACGATAATTCGCTGTGGAAGTGAACAGACCGACTGAAACACACAAGTCGAGTAAGACAGGCTGGATGTGGTGACATAGCAACAACATGCCAGGTCACCATCCAAGGACGCCGAAGCCACTGAAGACTGAGGATATTCGTTCCCCTAGCTGTTGCTCCCAATCCTGTTCCGTAAACCCGCCTACAGGCATAAGTGCCTGTGTATCAGCCGGAGAACAGCGACGGAACGACAACACGACTCTACGCACCCTGACGCTGGTCCTGATTGAGTTGCATCAATGCCTGGCAATCCAACTTTCTGCAACAAGATTTGCAACAGGTATACCGACAATGCGAACTTGAAGCAAAAGAAACCCAATTCCATTGAGCCTGGTCTGGAATGGGTGCTGACATCTCTACACCTTGGCAGCTGGCATGGACCGTGAACTTTGGCTACAGCAGCGATGCGAAGTTCCACAGCACTGCTGCAGCTCAGATACCAAACGATTGTCCGCGAATCACCACTCGAGAACTAAAGTTTCCACGAAAAAGTCAGTTCCTGGCCCAGATGCAACTGTCTTGCAGAAAACCCATGCAACAAAAGCAAGGCAAGTCTGAGGCAAGCGCACAAGAAATGCAAAGGCCTCGGTGCAAGCTGAGTGATTTCAGCTTCGGCCGGTGCCCCGTGTCTGTACATGGTCGTGGTTTTGCCTGGGGCAAATGCCACTGGAAGGCTTTCAACCCGAAGTGCCAAAGCAGCGCCGACGGCGACCTCCGGATATCCTCAGTGCAAAGCTGGGTTTGCTTGAGAGCGCCTTCCATAATACAGGGCTGCAGGGTCAACATTGAAGATCCGTGACATAATACAGGATTCCAGATCAAGTAGTCAATGAAGTTCATTCTATATCGGCGTGATGATTTCGGAAGATTAGCAAGGTTAGCAAGGTGTGCTCTCAACCTCAGCGAGGCCACGAAAATATACTGTCGTGAATGCGGCCATATGCCGCAATTGCCGCAAATCTCTTTGATTCTGTGAAAGAGGAAAGAGGAGAGGAGAGGAGAGAGAGAGAGAGAGCGCGACCATGCTCGTGAGCGATGGCATCTTGGGCTCTGACAATCTCGAGATTAATTGCACCACCGATAGTGGCTGGGTCAGCTCGCTTTGGCGCCAAGCGCCTTGAGCCTACATCACATCTGGCGGCGGAGGGTCGAAACCTTGCTTTGTAGCGGAACATGTCTGCTTGCTCGCCGGCGCAGCTCCAGAGCCTACGTGCTGAGTCTCGCTCCCTCTCTCTCTCTCCGCATGGCTCACTCTCTTACTGTCTTGCCCTTTGATTTGCTTTGCTAGGGGTATAATGGGCTGGCAGTCCCGTAGGACTCCCTCTGTCTCTCTTTGCCTTGCTAGGGGTAAAGGACTCTCTTTCTTCTTCCACACAGCCAAAGGAAGAGCAAGCGGCTCCCCTGCGCGCGTGCGCGCCCTGGTCTCCATTGTCTTTGCGTGACTCTCTCTCTCCCTCTCTCCGTTTCTTGCTGCTCAAGGCAAAGTCATCGTCTCTCTGCTTCTTCTCGGCTTCTGAGGGGCTTGTCCGCTCTCGTTCCTTTCTTCTGTTTCTTCTCCCCATTCTTCCTTCCACACAGACAAGAGGGCGAACCCTTAGGTCTGAGGCGAGCGGCTATTAAAGAAAGGCCGGTAAGCTAGTGCACAACACTGTATCAAGACAGCTCTAGCCCAGACCCCTCTCCCGGCCTTTCTGCTGCCCTTTTCTTGAAGGCATGTGGTGATTCAGCAAACAAATCATATTATCCTTCTCTCTCAGTCGCTCTCTCTCGCTCTCTCTCTCCCTCTCTTGCTTGCTTGCTTGCTTGACGTTTGGGGTCGAGGGGTGCCCCCCGTACCCCCGCGCGCAAGCGCAACGCCAGTGTCCGCGTCCGGTCGGCTGAGTGAAACACAGCTTCCCTCTCTCTCTGTCTCTCTCTCTCGCGTTCGCTTGCACGGTCGCCTGCTCGGTCGCTCGCTCGCTTGTTTGCTTGCTTCGGTTTACGGCCCTCAAGCAAACCACATCTCCCTCTCTGTCTCTCTGTGTCCATATCCATTACACTGCAAGTGCACAGGTATGTATGTAAATACCACATGTATGTACGTACGTGTATGTGTATATACATATATACACGATATGTATATTGCACCATGAGTACCTGCGGATGGGTACTCCTTCCCTCTGAGACTCTGAAACTGGGCTCCAACATCGCACGCGCTCGAGGGCGTTGGTCAGCGCCCACCGCGGCCTGACAGTGACCAGGGAGTGCTAGCGGCACCACTACTTACAACGCCAGAACATGCAGTTGATCCGACCACAGTCTGTGTTGCATCACCAATCTGAGTGGCAAACGTCTGGGCCGTCCAGGCACACTGCAGATGATGTGAGCCCAGCAACCCTTCTGGGAGCCACCAATGACAACCGCTTTGCAAGCCGCACTCTTTGGTGGTGGACAATGGGGATTTGGGGCTTCATTGTCAAAATACAATAACAGCATTTTGTCACTGGTGCCGATGCTGTCCAAGTGTTGCATGGCCAGAACAGGCTTTGCTCCTTTCCTGCGCGCATTTCGTGGGTGCGCCTAGAAAGCCGCACCCACAAACAAGAGCGTCTTCGAGAGGAGCTGCAGCACTCAGCTGTACATGCTCGGCCAGAGCTTTCGACGATTCGATGCTCCCAGCGAACCATTAGCACCGCAAATCAAAATCCCAGGTTATTCCTCGATTTAGCACAAAACGAAGAGTTCGAGCTAGACCCATAAGAATTAAGTTGGCGCGAACCAGGTGCAGTAGGACGGCTTGCTGCATCCGTCTCTGGCATGCAGACTCAACAGCTGCTGTGTGGATCCGTGTGAGACTCACCTCGTGGCTCAACCCAGTGCAACACAAGACTTTCCTCTCGGTTAAGATAACATGTCCACGAGGGTGGTAGAACATGTTTATGGCTTTCCCAGTCGCAACGAGTCATTGATCTCACGACATGATTGTGTCGATAAGGGCGCTCTGCATTCCTGGCAGACCTTCCGCATGAAGATGCTTTCAAGGAACAAAGGCAGTGCAAACGCTAACGAGCAGTCCATGGGGTCCTGCACCTGCACTCTGCAGTTTGAAGATGCTCTCTAAGACCTCGCAGGGTGGTGCTGAAATCCCGTACAGCCACGCGACGCACCAATTCGCTTCCGGACTAAGCTGAACACCGCAACCTCCGTCGCGGTCGTGTCCATGCCTTGGCATACAAATGAGCATTGGCTGACACTTTCAAGATTGGCCAAACTCACGTGTAGACCCTCCCAAGTCCCAAGGATTGAACCGCAGAAGGCAGCCCAGTCGTTTGCAACTACACCGGCACCAATGATGTCCTGCTGCGCAGCCAGGCTGGAGACGAACGCATCGCTGTGCCGCAAGGACTGTGACACCGGACCATTCGACCTGAGGTCCTAGCAGAGCCACGGTTTACGGTGCCAGCAGTTAACGGCACCTCGCCAGAACACTCTAAAAAAGCGATGCTTGGCAAAGGAGGGTTTATCACGGCAGAACGGTGCCTGAATGAGTTGCGAGAGCTCCTCCTGCCATGTGTCGTTCAAGTCTAGCGCGAATTTCGCGACTCGCACATGCCCTGCGAAGTAGGCTTGTGGCTTACAGATTGCCCGAGCTATCAAGCCTATCAAACTTCGGCCGAAGACACCATGTCTTGCATGGGCGTCCGCGCGTGTACGAGACCACCCTGGTTGCAGGCTGCAGGCCGTGCACGGCACTTGTCACCAACTAAGCCTCTTCAATTCAACCGCAGGGGTAGTCTGCAAACACATCTGCTGTCAAGGATGGGCAACCGAACTTGATGCATTGCAAACGAGCCTGGTTTGTCAACACACCTCAAGTGGATGACCAGGTGCGATGGGCAGTAACAGCTGCAGGCTACAGACATCCTGAAGTATGCTGCGCATGCTCGATCGCACAATCATGAAGCAAAGGCATAATACCTGGTGCGTGCTTGCTATTTCGCCTTTTTACCAGGCGTCGGGTGGGCTTGGGTGGGCTATTTGGTGCAGATGGCACTGATAGAGTGGGACTAAGTGAAAGGAGGTGGAAAGGCAGGGGGTGGAAGGGCGCACAGCAGCAGGACCCAAACAGTGAGAGTTGGGGAAAGACCCTCATAATGCGGCTGATGTGTAGATGAAGTGGTTCGACTTACGGAGCTCCGAGAGAGAGCATCTGCATTCAAGCTGAAATGTCGCGTCAGATCTTGCTACTGCTGTCATCTGCTGTCCTCGTGCCATGCTATGCCATGCTGACCTCGCTGGCACGCACGCATCTACTGCTTCAACTTTGTTGTTTGACATGTTCTTCGAATCTGTTTTCCGCTTGTGTTTCTAGTGACGATGTGTGTTCATCTTTTGTTTGACCATGCTCCATCATTCTCACCTTTGCATTGCTGCATTGCCATCCGCAGAGTGGTAAGAGATTCAAGTTTAGGGAGTGTCGAGGAGGGCCACGGGCCTGGATGTGGGTCAGCCAGTGAAATGAAAGACAAACAAGACAGGGACGGATGTTCAAGAGAGTGCTTGGCCACCGTTCCGGAAATGATCTGCTCTCAGCACCCTTCTTCCTCCTCCTCCTCCTCCCTCATTATCGTGTGCTTCATCAAACTCATCACAAGTCCTGCACAGTGCTCAGTGCAACCCGCGGAATGCGCGCAGATGCATTGATGTCCGGCACTTAGATCCTACCGTGTTTGCACTCTGGGGATGACATCTGGAGCTTGCCTGATCGTTTATCTTTCTTGAAGCGCCTTTGTTCCGATCTCGATGTCTTCGTCAGCTAGATGTGGCAAGTGTTTCGAAGATGTTCTTTCAACGCACCACAACGCACTCCATGCACAAGCAGCTTTACGACACTAATGTGCTGGGGACTTGAACTTGTAGGACTGTGGTGACACGAGCGGGATGTAGATGAAGTAGTGGACTCATGCGCATCAACAAGGCGGCAAATATTGCTATTCACTTTCTGTGGCACGCTGTTGCAGCTGCTTCGCATGAAGCCATTTATTCAAGGAGACCGCCCTTGCAGCTTGCAGAGCAGCATTCGGGCAAAGTCTTGAAGCCGATGTTCAACGCTGCATGCTGGGTCAGACTCAAAAAGTTCTAAGGCTGGCGTAAAAAGACTCGGACATCCATTTCTTTGTTGGGTGATGCCTTGAATGTGAATGCATCCTGCCAGCGTTCGAGAGAGAATCCGTGGGAGTGCAGGCTCTGCGGGCCACGTTGTGGGGTCGCACGCCCCCCACCCCCCCGCAACACGTAAGCTTGGTATAGCTGATGAGCCGGGTAAGAAGGGGCGAAGATGGTGTCATTGACACTTTAGCGCAGCAACAGCCCACGGCAGCACATACGATTGTCGATATGCTGCCTGCTCGGGTGCAGCGAAGGATTGACAAATTGCAGGCAAGCTGCAGTAGCTCCCGACGAGAACATTCTGCGCAACGGTTGCTCGGAACACATCAACCTTTCGCGACACCAGAAACAACTCCCTGCCAACACCCTACGCTTGCCAGCACTTTGAATGACCAAGCATGTGAGAGTGCCAGGCAGAAAATCTTGTGCACTGCCACCGTGGCACATACTGTGCCAACCAAACATGCACTTGTAAAACAGCTTGCCTGCATGCCTGCATGCCTGCCTGCCTGCCTGCCTGCCTGCCTGCCTGCCTGCGTGCCTGGCTGCCTGCCTGCTTGTCTGCGTGCCTGCCTGGTTGCCCGTCTGCCGACCTGCCTGCTTGCCTGCTTTGCTTGCATGCTTGTCTGCTTGCCTGCTTGCCTGCCGTCTGCCGTCTGCCTGCGTCCCTGCCGTCCCCGCTGGCTGCAGCTCGCTGGGAAAAAGATCCTCTGCCCACCTACCAGGCCTTCAGCGTGTCTGCAATAACTTCTTCAGTCTCACGATCGAGATCTGTGTGAACCAGTGCCACCTGCAACGAATCGAAGAAAGCTTCCACTTCGCCTCTAGGCGATAAGCAAGAAAATAAACAAGGAGCCCCGGCTCTTCCCCGGCTCTTCCCCTCCCATAAGTCCAGCCACATAGTCGTTGCAGGCAATGCAATTGCCAAGCGCTGACAGGCGCTCCTCAACTTTCTGGACCTCACGGATACAGGACATCTTGACTGCACAATACAAACCAGGATGTTTCCCAAGCTGGGCTCCGGTCTCGAATACCTTCTGGCAAGTGATTTCTGAGGTGTGCCAGCTCCTTTCACCGGTGTGCTGGCCGATTTCGCTAGCAGCATCAGCGTTGATAGGTGAGATCAAGTCCAAGAGACGACATCATTGGGTCATTGGGGTCGAAACACGCCTGGTCAGTCGTGATGCTTGGGACTAAAAGCCCATGCCGATTGCCAACAGTGACCTCAGGGCATTTCGCAGCGATGCACGTGTGCAGCTGCCTGTACAGAAGTGGAGAGGCTGCAAGTGTCTTAACTGGGGACAGGGCTCTTCCACAAATTCGAGTTCCTCACGCAGCTGCTCACCACAACCGGCACACGACGCACTGGAGAGCTTCAGGAACCTGTGTAATCCATGAACATGCCGAGAGGTCCAAACTTGCGTCGTGCACGTGGCCATGCTCCAGCATGCCCGCAGGCTCCAATATACTATATTAAATTATGTTATATTATATTATATTGTATTATATTATATTGTATTATATTATATTATATTATATTATATTATATTATATTATAATATAAAATATTATATTATATCATATCATATAATATTACATTATATTATATTATATTATATTATACATTATATTATATTATATTATATTATATTATATTATATTATATTATAATATAATATAAAATATTATATTATATCATATCAAATAATATTATATTATATTATATTATATTATATTATATTATATTATATTATATTATGTTATCTTATCT